TGCCTACACCAGTGCCATAGAATTGCAGGTAGTCGTTGGGGTGCTACCCCAAAGGTTAMCAGATGGATCTACACGGCCATAGTCTGCCCCATGCTATGCTATGCTGCTTTAGTGTGTTGGGTTCGAGTCCAAATTGGGGTGGCAAGAGTGATGCCCACCCATGTGCAATGAATGGCCTACCTGCACATCACAGGTTCCATCAGAACAACACCCATGGCAGCCATGGAAGTCCTACTGGACCTGACTCCAAAAGATTTACATATCTTAGAGGAGGCCGCATCCAGTGCAGTAYGGCTATGCCAGTCTGGTAGGTGGAAAAACCTATCTGACTCACAGCACACTAGAATCTGGGACTGGGCAGATGCTGCTGTTTCAGTAACTGTAGGACTTGGAGACAGAATGGTCAGAAAATACAATTTTGAGTCAAGTTTTAAGACAGAGATAGAAGACAGGTCTGTCTGGAGTAACCTCTTTATGGTGGACCTGTCTCCCAATCATTTCTACTGTTTTACAGATGGATCCCTTCTGAAGGGGGTCAGTAGGTGCAGGGGTACTGATTGTGCACAACCATAGTGAGAGAGAGTACAATACACACTAGGTGGTTTCTCAACTGTATCTCAAGCTGATCTATATGCAATCCACCAGTGTGTGGCATCTCTCAAAGACCTTCAGTGTACTCAGATGGAAATATTCATCCTAACAGATAGTCAGGCTGCTATTAGAGCTCTCCGAGGGCCAAACTTCACATCCTTACTTTCTTGGGAGTGTGCCAAAGTAGTCGACCAACTGGGGAGAGATAACAGTGTTACTGTTAAATGGGTACCAGGCTGGCATTTATGGTAACAAAAGAGCTGACTACATTGCAAAAGCTGGCAGTCAGGCTCACTTCAAAGGACCAGAGCCTGTTGTATCTCAACAACAGTTTGTAGGACTGCCAGCCCTACAGGCCTGGATTAGATGTCAACACTCAAACTGCTGTTGGGAGCTYACGGACTGTAGACAGGCACAGGAAATGGCCCAAAATCTTAGGTTTGTGGAAGCTCTCATTGTCCTGACAATGAAAACTTTAGGCACACTGGTTGGAGTCCTAATTGGGCACAACTTCAATCGCCAAAAAATGGTGATGGGACTCCATGACAATGGTCTGAYGGATGCCTGTMGCACTGAATTAGAGACCTCTTTGGACRACTTAGGCCACTGCCAGGCTCTGAGCAGTCAAAGGAAAATAATTCTTGGGGACCACTTTATGGATYCKGAGACGCTCAGAAGACYGAGTGTTTCTAACCTCGTGTCCTTCATCATCATGTTTCTTTATCCATACCCACATAACAAAATGTGTCTGGCCCACACACAATGCACTAAGCACTCAAACACTCGGACCAGATACCYCAAAMATCGGCGYCCCTTTGGTGGCCCAGATGTGGTTTGCCAGCACCACAGTCTGCTGGCTAGACACCTGATCTGGCCCACACTTGTCTGCAAACAAAACATTTCAGCAAGGTAAAAACGTTCAGAAGAGTTTGTAGCTTTGAGGCTGAACATTTAATAGCCTCATTTGTTCACATTTCTTCACGGCAAAAATGTCTCCAGGTTACTTTGTCTTCCTCCATGCACTGTTATCTCACCGTAAAAAGGTCTGAAACTTGGCTGGGGCCTTTCTGCCTGGAGGGTAGATYTTCTCCCTGTGTATTAATGATTTTTTTTGCAAGTACTCTAGTTTCCTCCCAGAGTCCAAAACCATACAAGTTAGGTTTATTGGCCCCCGGGTTTGAGTGCGAATGAGTGTTACCCAGTGAGGACAGCAGTGACCCTGCACAGTGGGAACAGGAAACAGTTTCCAAAATGTTTACATGCATGTTCTGTTAATTAGCCATTCTGAAGTGAGTGAGTCTGTGTGACGCTGTTCGTCTCTGTGTTGGCCCTGTGATTCACTGGAGGCCTGTCCTTGCTGTGCCCTGCCTCATGTCGATGATACCCCCCCATGACCCAGAACAGGACAGAGACGGTATGAAAAATGGATGAATGCACACAGAAGGTTTAACAGTTTCCACTCTTCTGAGCTAGATTGTGCTGCATTGTTTTTGTGAAGAGCAATGTGAACCACAACCAGTTTTCACGACTAAAAGTCTTCGCTGATAGAAATAGATTGTGTACTAAATATCAAATTAGCTGCAGATTTACAGATTGCTTTGTGGRCTTTATATTTAACACATGTTTGTTCTGAAGATAAGTGAGGCAGGTTAGACAATATTTTATTACTGTCACATAAAAACTGTTTGAATARCCTGTGCAACAAGAACGTTTGTTAGGCAGTGTCTTACCTGGATCCAGATGAGGATCTGTTGCAAAAAGGAGTAATCTCAACTTCCCCATGAGCTTTATCTTTAAAATACCCCAACACCAGAAGACAGCAGAAAGGAGAGATAAGAAACCACATAAAGGTGCACTGGTGGTGAGACAGAGACACWGAAAGGTGCATAAAGCTGAGGAGATAAGCCGGTGTAGGAGAGAAAACAGATGGAGATAAGAGTGTTTGTATGTGGATAAAGTGTCACGGGAAAAAACGGTTCTCGTCCTGTCAGGCTAGCCGGGGTGATGTTACGCCACCAGATGAGAAATTAGCTTGCACAGGGATGGGGGGAATTAAAGTAGCTGAAAGGCTGGAATGAAATGCAAAGGACGTGTTTGAAAGTCTCCAGTAGTTTCAGTTGACGTTAAGAGTCTAAAGCCAAACCAGTACGAGGCAGAGGCATGCATGAAGAAGCTGCTAAAGTAAAGACATGTGGTGCAGGAGCTTAAATGTCTTATTCCTTGTTTACTAAAGTTGAAAAAAGTTAAAACAAGAACATATCTAAAAGTTAATGTTTGTGTTAWATATATTTATAGATTTTTGATAAGGCAACATTTACATTATTTACATGCACATTTTGTATGACTTCAGTTTGTGAATTTTGTCTAAACAACAAGGTGAGAGGTTTATAGGAGGAGGGAGCGGTGGCATTTGACTTTGGACAGGCATGGGGCCAGTTTTGTTTTCTTACTGTTTATTTAATTTAAAAAAATTTTTTATTTTATTCAGCAATTTATGTCCACCATATCATGGAAACAGCTGCACCAAACAACATGAACTTTGGCAGGAATGTAGATGTGTCTGACCTACACTGAGCCATCCAGTGGTTTTATGGTAGACCCCATATTTGAGGAGGGGTTTCCATCTGGGTGTGTCTGGACATACAAAAGTGCTTATAAATTAAAAACCATTCAACATAAGAGCTTCAGATTTTGTTGTTGTTTAGCTCTGATGAAGGGCTATCCATCGGGCAATGAGCCCCCCATGGACCCCCACCCAAAAAAAATAAATCTGTTCTGTTGAGTTCTGAGTTCTGGTGCTTTGCGTATGTGTGGGGGTCATGTATGCTACCGCAACGCGGTATCTAGTTTAAAGTAATGTTTTTCTTTTGGTCTTGTTTGAATTTTGTAGATGTATCATTTGTATTTGTTCAGTTTTTCTCATAGAAACAGTTTAAACGTGAACGCCATGGTCCAGAGTTTTTTCAGCTGGGATTTTATTTATTTATTTTGAGCGTCAAGCTAAGGCTTCATAGAAACCGTTATTTAGAAACGTACATTAAAACCAGATGACTAGCAGCAAATCACAACTGAACTCAAACAAGACATTAATTTTAAAAGTATCTGATACCTTAAATACAACTGATGAATATAAAAATACTCAAAAATCATCAACTTTATCTTAAGAGGGGATTGACTTTATATTCATGAATTCCCCAGTGTTCCTTCTGGAGACGAGCACATCCGGAAAGGAAAAATTGGAAAATAAAGACGATTTGTAAATCCTCACATTCTCATTTTACTTACATTCTACACAATGCCCCAGTTTTTTATTTTTATTTTTTCTGAACTGGGGTTGTAAAAAGGTTAAGTGTTACAGTTTTAATTGATTGCTTGGACCTGTTTGAAGGAACTGGGAACCTCTCAGTCTTCATCATCACCATCTCAGCAGAGCAGAAGAAACCTCTTGCAAAAATGTGTTAACCCATTCTCATTGGATTGACACAGTTTTCCCATCATTTTGCAAAACAGTTAACGCAGACGTCATTCAAGAAGTCCAAACTCCGTTGTAGCTGTCAGTATGAAACACCGAAAGCACCTGTTTGACAC